GCAAGTATCTGGGAACTCTGTTCCAATTTGTAGGGGAAACAGCTGTTTATTGTATACAGTACTTGATAGATATCTTGTGTTTCTTTTTAGGTTATATTATTGCAAATAAAATTTCAATAGGCTCACGGCCCAAAAAGAAACAGTCAAAGTACAAATAAAGATAAATTTCAAAATAGAAATTAAAATAGAATTTTGAGTCATTACTCATTATATACTAAATATAAGTAATAAAACATTAAGAATACAATCAGCAAATTAGAATTTTACAAAAACAATCATTAAAATTGAATTTTGACCTTTTACTTTTATCAACAAATTTTCCAGGATTTTATTTTTAAAAACATAAAATGACTCAGAATAAAGGTCAGCCAACCTATAGCAATATTAGCAAGAGAAGCAAAGACAGAGAAAGTGTACTAATAGTAATATTGAGAGTGAATGTATTTATTAACGCGAATGTGCAGTATGAGAGGTCTGATGGTCCTCGAATCTAAACTATCTGTTTGTCTTCTTACAGCCAATAAATTATTGCTCAAAATCTAGATCACTTTAGCCTGCTGGGTATGGGGCAGATTGAGCTTCTTGGGGTGCTGAGCCTAGGGTCACTGCTAAGACCTCAGATTTGGAGGGGTTTGGACATTGGCAGTGGCATGCACACCCATCAGATGATGTGCAAACTAACAAGTACAGATGCATTTTTGGAGTTAAGGGGAAGTGCTCGAGTGTAGTACCTTCTTGGCTCGCCTCCATATCCATACTTGGAGCTGTTCAGCCTCCGTAACATAATTTTATGAAATTATGAGTATTAAGGCAATTTTAAAAAAATCCTTGATTGAAAGAGCGAAAGATTGCTGACATCTTGAACGGGAATCGAGGAGAGTGAGGGACCTCCAAGACCAGAATTGAATTTAAATTCTCCAATAAAATTGGTAGATGTAGAACACTTCTTTAGACGATACAAATTCATTTTAAGACCTGATCGTTGCTGTTCGAAAATTTAAATTATCATGTCATACCAATAATTTTAAAGAATCAAATTAGATTCAATTTTGTTTTGTTTGTTATTTTAAAATTGTTCTTTTAAATGTACAAACTTTATTTTGGTTTTATTTTTTACATATTTTCTCATTTTATATTTCCCCAAAAATAAATACATATTTTGTCAAAAATAAAGACTTATTTATAAACACATTTTGTCTGTTTTAATGCATTCCCTTCCTACTTATAATTTAACTACTTGTTTCACCAGTATTTTTTTGTATGTATCGTTCATTTTATTTATGTATTTCAACTTTAAATAAACGTTATTAATTTTTTATTTAATAGACATGTATTTTTTACTGTTTCCTGATTTATGAGTGTATTATATCATGCACATGCACATACACATATGCAAGTGTAGAAAGTTGAGCCTATGACTTTTCATAGCCCATTGTACATATGAAAATTATTGTATCAGTATAAAATAAAAATAATTATTATATTTTTTGTCCTTTTTCGGTTGATTAGGAGAATCAGCATCAAGTTTTGATATAGCACCATTTATTTTAAAGACATTTTTGCAATAATATTCTGCTGCCCCTAATTTTGTTCCCCATCTCAAAATAATAGGCTGAAGAGGAAGACATAAGTCTGGATTGCTTTCTTTAAGGATATTTGTGTGACTGTGCTTTTGCAAATATTTTTACTGGTTTTTACTTTTGAAAGTTTGGAGCCTTTCAACTTCTTTCTATAGGGGACCATATCAAATCTAAAATAGATGATTCACCATCAAATCCTACCAGCATTCAAAATTTAATCAATTGCAGAAATCACATAACAAATCTTTTTAATCTGAAAATAAAAGCCAAGATGATGGAGTTTGCTGATGGTTTTATTTGCTGGGTACAAATTAGCTGATCTGATGATACAGAGATACTGCCGACAAGCCAACGATTGTTTTTTCTAGTAAAGGCACACTGAATTGACCATTTATTTTATAATTAAACATTTAGTCACAATATCTTAAAACAATACAGTATATAAATATGTAAGAAATAGTATATATGAAACTTATTGTATTTATATGTATTTACCATTTATATGTAATAATCAGTATACAATTAAAATAATTATTAAATACATATGCTTGCTATTAAGACCCAACGACTTTCAAAGAAATATTGGTAGCTTTTTATGGAAGTTTTCTAAAAGGAGTTTTATATTACCAGAAGAAATGGGTTTGGATTTGGATTTATATAGGTTTGAAACCACACATGTATGTACTACACACTAACTTGTGCTGCTTCGAGTCTATTTGCTCCACCGGCGATACAAGCTTTTGTGATTTAAACTAAATTACTGGCAGGCTTCAAGATCACCCATCTCGTGTGTTGGCATTCTGAAGTCAGATCTTGGTCTTATCCATCTGGCTTCAGTGTTGAGCTCCAAGGTCTAGCAACAGCTAGGTCATTTCAGCCCCCTAATACAATCAATACCTAAAGCCAACACCATTCACTCAATCACTCACTCTTAAATACATTATTTCTTGTTTACATACCATTCACACAGTTAGAGTGGCGAAGAACTCAATATTCCTCCATAAACTTGTACACCTACTATATAACTAACCTAATTGAGGGTATAATTGGGGCTGACTATACCGCCATTGACTGTTTCACACTACACATTCACACAAATAAATACATCCACTCTCATAAAACACCAGGGACACAAAACTATCAGTAGTACATACAACAAAAACATCAACTATTATATAACTAATGCAATTGAGGGTAAATAGGGTATTCAATATCCCACTATTGACCCTCTCAATACAAGCATAAGCATATAATACATATATCAGTACTATATACAATAAAACAACTCTGTTTATTAAAAAAAAGCCATTTCCTATTAATCATATTTTTTAAAATGCATTTTTGCAGCAAAAGGCTGGATAGAGGTGGTTAAGTCTGGAGTCGGATCCCAGACTTGGCCACCTCATCCATCTTTTCATTACATACCAGACTAATCTAGCTGATGGTATCTTATCTTCAAGTGGGGTCAATGTATAGAATTAATTGTTTTCATTTGTTTTTTACTTTTATTTTAAATTTTTGTAAATTGGATTTTTGCCTTAAAATATATTAATATAATGAAAAAATATTTAACTGAGTGGATTATTTGTGAAGAAAGCCAGGACATAATGCTGCAGGAGGCAGGAAGCAAGAAAAGGCATCGATTTGCAGGAGCAATATTTAATTAATTTTCAACCCGCTTTTTTTCCCATGTATAAAAGTATATAGTTTTATTCTTTATGCAACTTTGGCTATAAGTAACTCATGCCAATAAATAAAGTCACTCTCAACACAAGCGTAAGCTTATAATACATACATTGTACTATATACAATAAAACAACACAACCTTTCTTAAAAAAAAAAGAAGAAAAAAAACCTTCCTCTTCTTCTATTAATCATATTTTTATATTCTTTAAAATGTGTTTTGTATTTTTCTATTAATATCCTTATTCAATGTAATAATTTTTGTCAATTGGATTTTTTCCGTAAAATATAACTCATTCTTGTAGAAGAAAAATATTTTCTTATGACAAAAACATTTACCTTATATTATTATAATTAACAAATAATATTTATCTGAGTTTGTGCTGTGTGATATATTAATCATGTGTACATATTTATATAGTATACTATCATGTATAAGTAACAAATTTTAAAAAAATAAATAAAATTTAAATTTTTGTAAATTGGATTTTTTCCGTAAAATATATAATTATTATTAATTTTTAATGGTGTTTTAAAGGCTAAGGTAATTTCACGCCCTAACATCCAAACATTCTATCTTAGGTTAGCTATATCCCTTCTGAGTGCTGTAAAGCTCTCCAAACATTCACTCCTAGACTAATTTATCCTATTGCCATCCAAAGCTTTAATTTATCCTTTCAAAATCCTTAATTTGGAACGCCAAATGTATGCAAGAAACCCATTTTAAATTACATATAAAATTTATTCCTGTTTTTTGTTAGAATTTTGAATTTTTGTTCCATAATTTAAACATTTCCACTAGGCTTGTATGGCTAATAATAATAATAATAATGATGGAGTCTCAGCATGAGTATAGGCTCATCCTTATCATTTTATTTTTCCATTCAAATATGATAGATAAACTAATGCTACAAAACAATAATAAGAAACAAAAACACAATAATACTTTTTTTTTTTTTTAGGAGATAACTTTCTTATTTATTGCATTTATTACCCCGCCATTTGTATTTTCTTCCATTTCATTTTTCCACTCCGGCAGCCTCAAAAACTTCAGAAAAAAGAAAGAAATCTTGCACGCACAACTCTCATTCAAACCTTAGCAGGCAAACAATTAATGGTATAACATTTGGGAAAAGGCATAAATCTCATTATAGATTCCAATAAATTTGAAAAAGCTGAAAAGTGCTCTTTGAAACAGTAGGGACCCATTAACTCCTTTAAATCTCTCGAATGGGTTGCAAAGTGCGGCAGTCGACCAAAATATGTTTTACTGTCAGAATGATACGTACTCCACTTCGCATACATCGAGGACAAGTTGGAAGATTGTTGCCTATTAAAAGCCTATTATGGATTAGCCTGATGTGACCTATTCGCAATCTAGAGAGAATCACAAGTTCTTTTCTCTCAAGTTCCACATTTATGTACAACTGGCTCAATTTCTTTCATACTATCTCTACAGACATTCCATCTTGCCGCCCACTTTCGTTTGATAATGTTTTTATTATTATTATGAAATAATATTTAGCTGAGTGGCTTATTTGTGTAGAAAGTCAGGACATTATGCTACAGGAGGCAGGAATCAAGAAAGGGCTTCGATTTACAGAAGCAATATTTGATTAATTTTCAACCCAGGACCCATGAATAAAAGTATATAGTTTTATACTTTATGTAACTTCCGTTATAACTCATTCTTGTAGAAGAAAACTGTTTTGCTTTGACTTTGTAAAAAACATTTACCTTAGTGGCTAGTCGGTGCTGAAGGTCGAGTCGGTGGACCTGAAGAAGGAATGTCCTGAAGAGCGAACCGGATGAGAAGTTGCCTCGGCCGCGGCGCCGGGTGGTCCGTGCGGTGCTGCTGTTCGCCGGCCGGGGCCGAAAGCTGTCGCCGGTTCAACCTCCTCTGTCAGCAGGAAACCTCGTTCTGACCGTCAGTCGACTCCAGCTCCTCCGGTTACTACGTGAAACGAGTCAGCCGCGTTTTTCCCCGGGCGAGTCACCAGGAAATCCTCGAGAGGAACCAACGGCGAGCCGAGGAGTGATGTTACCGACCGAAAATGGATTTCGAGTCGGACCTAACCCTCAAGGAATGGGCGAAAGACAAACCTTTGAGCATTCTACAACTCGACCCGGCTGACAGGGCCGTTCTCAGGATAGCGGGTGAGTTTTTTTACATTTTTTTTATTATAATTCTTCTTTGCCTTGCTGGAAGAAAAGCATGCGTTATTTAACGAGGGTCAGGCAATTTTTGCGACCTCCCCGGCCTTCAGGCCGACACAGATCGATATTTATTTTGTTTACACCACCTACGAAGGTTATCAGTCCGCTTGCTACAGAAATGCTAACGGGAGTGTGCTGTCAAGAACCACCGACGGCCAGAAGAACCAAATTCCATCGGTTCCAGCCTAAAGATTAAAGAAACAACATTAAATAAAAACCATTAGAAAAATAATAAACAATCATAAAAAAACACCCTAAACAGTTCGATCTGACAATGTACATGTCATATGTCATGTCATGTCACATGGTCTTTCTACCAGAAAATCCCCGTTACTTTATTGATTAGGAAGTGAAAAATCCCCCTGAACTTATAAAAAATAAAAATTCCCTAGTTAATTAATTCAACCGTACGGATTTTTTTTCTTTATATTTTCTTTTCAGTAATTAACCCAATTTTCCGTTCATCCTCGACGATCTACACGGGTTAAAAGATCTCTTGAACGCTCGGTTTTGAAACCGCCGCCGGCCTTTCCTCGAACTTGACCCGAACTTGAAAGGACCAAATCCTCAACCGGCTTTGCGCTTCCTTCTTCGCCCAAATAATAACTCCAAATTTTAACTTCTAGGTTTTTTACACTGCTTATTCAAAATATTTTTTGTGATTTAAAAAAATCTCTTGATAAGGGTGTGAAGATTGAATGTTACGTAATGCCAAAAAACGGAAATAAATTAATAAAACTGAGTCGCTTTTAATTTTTCTTTTCTGATTTGAATTAGCCTTGAACTAGTGTATTCTACAATACGTTAATCATTTGTTAAAATGTGCTTTTATTGCATATAATTTTTGATTTTCAGTATTTGTTTATAAAACTCCATTCAATTAGTGCCAGGGAATTTTTTCACCTTGTCTACTTTAAATACAAGAAGCTTTTTAGGTTAAAATATGCATTAAATATGAAATACACTGTTGGATAAAATAAACGCACCACTATCTATTTGTAGTAAAAAAAATCCATTCTTATTAGGTCTCGTGAGAGATGACAAAGCTAGTGTCACGGGCGGGATTCGAACCCATGACCTTCGGCTCAATACGCCGCTGCTCTAACCACTTGTACTATGGTGATAAAGCTGAGTGTGTTTTGATTGCTCAAGTGGTATTAGCTTTTTCATCTCAACGAAGACCTTACATAAAACGAATAATTAATTGAAATAAGTAATTTGATCAATTAAACCACTAAACATAAATGGATTGATAATAATAATAATAATAATAAATTAAATAACATTTGACTTGTGAGGAGACTTTAATATGAAACTTTTACAATACATAAAAATGTAGTTTATTTTATTTTTTAAGTCAGCAGAATTTAAGTCTAGTAATAATATTACGTTTTATGAGTTTGAATTGAAGAAATATTTCCATCTAAAATACAAGACGGGGCAGTTAATTAAAATATGTATTAAGTCATTAAGAGCGCGATAGGTGCACAAAAACACATTTCATCCAAATTGAAGTTAAATTTCTTTCTGTTAAAATAAATGCTGCAAATCTTTTTTGTTAACTTCACAAAGATATGCAATTAATCTTAATTTATCAATGTGCTATACTGTATTAATGTACTGTACTATCAATGTACTGTATTAATACACTGATGAACAAAATAAACGCACCACCTTTAAATTTTAATTTATTTGGGTTATTCATATTTTGCATACAAAAATAGGCTTGGTTGTAAAAATAAGATATTTAAAAAAATACAAAAATCTTTTTAATCCTCGTTAATATAGACCATTTCCACTGAAGGCAAGAATCACTTTCGTTAAACGAGTTTGCATTCCTTGGAAAAGATTTCTGGTAAAATCCTGAGGAATTCTTTACCATTCATCAATTTCCATCAAGAACAACCGTTTCCGACTCTCCTAGAGTGTAAGGACCTGGGTTTGGCCGTCGTCCTTGTCGCTTAACATGGTCCCAAATGTGTTTGATTGGGTTCAGATCTGAACTTCGTGTTGGCCACACCAAGCACTCAATTCCAACCTGACTCAGGTAGTCATTCACAAAGGTGCTTTATGAGTTCTATCCCTGCATTAGGAAGAATCTCTTACTGATGTGGGGAGCAAATGGCTCTGTATGTTCTTCGATTATGTCTTGTAAGTACATCCGTGAACTAGAGATCTCGCATAACAGCTATTGGGTTGTCCGGAAAATAATGCAGGATTTTAAGTTTTCATTAAAAAAAATCTATATAAAATATTCTGTTTACGTTTACAGGATTACTCATTTGTATGAATGTCANTTTTTTTTTGTTTAATACCAAAATCCTGCATTATTTTCCGGACAACCCAATAATTCCGTGCGGGCGTCGAAGGAAATTCCACCCCAGAACATCAATGACCCCACCATGGAATGCCACCTCAGGAACCATACAGCTTGGGGCGTACCTTTCTCCTGAGCATCTTTTTATGAAAGTACACATACAATATTCCTCGCACAACAGCCAGTTCGTCCGAGGAAATGCCAACTTAGAACATCATGACCCAACTGCCAATCATAGTCCTTGGCAACGTTAGGACTGAGTCGGTCTTAAGGAAATTTGTGATTACCTGTAGAACACTTAAATATGTCAATCTCCAGACCTTAAAAGAGGTCGAAAACTTGGCGGTAACAACTGAATTTCCTTTTTTCTTCAAGACCATACCAGTGTTCAGGTGTGAAAAAGTGAAACTTCCAATATTGACAATAAGCGTAATATCAAATGAAATCAACGGAGGAAAAAGATAAACTGAAAGCGATCTTTAGGTATAGAAGAATGGAAGGGCATTCTGCTACTTTTTGTGTAAAAAGGATTAATCAGTACAAAAGTAAATATAGGAAGGAAACAAAGCATTATTTACCGTTTATTTTGACTCCGATAGCTCATAATTACCTGTAACTAGTGTAGAAAGGTAATGGATTTAATTTTAAACTAAATAAATTGAGCGGTGCGTTAAATTTATCCATCAGTGTAGTTTAGGGGGAAAAATATGCAGGGTGGTCAGCTCGTCGTGTTAAAAAAAAATTTCGACTGTCCGTCAGACTGGAGTAGAATTACGTAAACCTTATGGTTTTATTTCAATCCGATCAAAAGCCACGATTTTTTAAATGTTTATTTAGGACAAACACGTTTATTTACATAAAACCTGAATTTTCTCCACTTCAACATAACTTTGCCCAACTTGTCCCAATTTTAGATTTAGCACCGAATTTCCTTTTAGTTAAATTAGCCCACTTTTATTCTAAAAAATAGCCAGTCTACTTACAAAATAAGTGTACGAACATCATAAAATTTGCGACATGATAATTTGGGATCAGCTTCTTTGTATTGATATTTATCACAGCGATTGTACACGGTATATTCGTAGACACATTTCCTTTTAAACAAGTTCATTATTATTCAAACTATATGTGCTTAAGTCTTTTATGTTTGTAGCTTACAAAGGTCATTTATAAAGATGTTAAATAAAGTTGGCCCAAGAACAGACCCTTGGGATAAAATCCCAGTATTTATACTTAATAAAGGTGACTTTATGTCACCATTCTGCACAAAGAATTTACTGTTGGTTAGGTTATTACTAGTGAAATGTGTTAGGTAGTTCAAGTCTTTCCTATTATAAAAAATAAATTTTTTATATGTATATATGGGCATGAATTTACAATTATTGATCTGTAGATCTGGGTTGTCAAGCTAGGTATGCTTAAGGTTACATTCATATAGTCTTTCATAGTCCAACGTGGAAACTCTCCAATAATTCTTAGAGCAGCATTTTGGTCTTGGAGTTAACAAAATTCGATTTGACATGGGATTACCCAAATGGGGCCACCGAAAGTTATAATAATATAACGGATGAATTTTATGTTTTTACTGTCCATACGTGACTATTATAAAAGACGGGGTGTAAACGCTCCATAAGATGGTTCTTGCTTTTGGTCATTTTTTTCCCCAACGCGGTAACTTAAAATAGGCCAGGAATCTAGTTAAATTCCATAGTATTTAACAAGTTTAGCTCATTGTATTGGCGAGCTATTTATTTTGACATGATTCATTTAATGTGTGGTCTGCGTTGAGGAAACAGTATTGCCTCAGTCTTGCTATCAACAGGTCCGAATTTCCAATTTCTTTTCGACTTATATTAAGGTCATCATCAGGGCCTATATTAATTTCACATTATGATAAACATTTTCGTACAATTGATTTAACAAACAAGATAACTATCTAGAACTGATAAAATGTGTGATAGTTGTGATTTCAATCCATGCCATTTTTTAATTTTTTTTTATACGTTCGCAATTTTAGTATGGCTACCTGACTTTGGAGGTGTACAAAAGATTGCTAATGTGGTAATTAAGCTATTGTTTGGATATTTAGAATTTTTGGGACGTAGTCCTGGTGGAACTAGTGTTTTTGACTTGCCAGCTTTTGTGTGGGTTTTCTAAATTATGGCATGGCCTGCATAGCTTTTAACCTTCTATGACTAATAACTCACCGGCTACAGTAGCCCTCATACAATCCCACACCATTCCCTCCATGCTTTTGAACATCTAATTCCCCGTTCGGTTTTCTCCAAACGAATGTGCGCCTATCATGTCCAAAAATGTTACACATTCATAAGAACAGGGACTAATATGTTATCTAGCAAAATGGACACTTTGCCCTGTTTTTATTACATTTGAAAGTTTTTGTGGAAGTTTTCTCTTGGATTCCCGCTTCCCGAGGGGGATTGCCAATAGTTTCTTCAATAGTTCAGTGCGAAATGCACCCTAAAACAAAAATAATTGAATATCGTTTTATTTAAAAAAATCTATAAATTGAGGTCCAAACGACCTCTCTTACAATTA